ACATAGACGTTGAGTTATCACCATATTTTAATCGTTTAAAACTTACTAATATTTTTTCTATTGATATCAATCTTTTGCCCAACTTATTGATCTTTCGTGGAGACATATAGATGTTATGGTCGAAAATAATGTAAAAAATTGTTTCATATAAATAGTAGTCAATTCTTTGTAATTGTGATAAATTCTTTTTCAAAATAATATAACTGCTTTTACCTGGAAATACATGTAAAAATAACTCCCATAGTGTAATAATACGTACGTTTTCATATAATAAGTAAGTTGTAAGTAGCGCAATTTTTAGTTCGCACTAAGGCCGTACTGCGATATACAGAATTCTACTGTATCTATATTATCTCTAAAACGTTGTCTATTGTGTAATTTAGTATTTACTCCAGCTTCCATTGCAATTTTTTCTGTATTAGCAGCAAAATCCGATGATTCCTTTAGTATCATAAGTTTTTGAACACAGATAATTGCTTTTAGACGATGGCTTTGTCTCGAATATTCGCGTCACACAACAGATGGCGACACTACTGACCATTTTGATCAAATTCAGTTGGATAGTTTCGCATTTACGGACGTTTTGATGTTATGCACGTCGCACACAGTGGTCCAAAACGTGTTCCTGGCCTAGTAAAATGATTTTTGTCCATATATTTCTCTCTACGTGAGTATATATTAAACGTACCTATTTAATTTTTATATGTTGTGTTATTTTCATACTTATTTTTTTATTATCTTGCAAGTGTAAATTAGTGGTTTCAGAAAGATTAGAGAATAAGTAAAAGTAGTGTGAAGCGTGAGAAAGTAGTGTAACACACACAATGTGATTTCTGATGCTTTGACATATACAATTAACAGAATTGTCGCACAACTTTTGTTTTTTCTTTTAAGTTTCTGAAATCTAAATAATTCTTTCTGCAAAAAGTGACTTTATAAGAAGTGAATAATTGTCTGTATTGTACTTGATAAAAGGTAAGATTACTTTAAACTTACATGTATACTATATGCATACATGTATTATTGTATTTATTATTATATGTATTATTATATAAATATATAATAATAACACATCTAGAATACATGT